TAATGCCAATGGTGATCGAAATGCATGGTATCAATGGATTGATAGAAATATCAATTTACGACAGGTGTTTGAATCACTAGCATATAAATATTTGTATCCATGGTTATCTTTATCGTCATGTAAAATGCATATATTGAATGACAACAGGCATAGAAAGTCATTAAAATAGTACGTCGAATAGCCACTAATATCATCATTGGGCATTGCAGCTGTATTTAAACAACAGAGATTTATTTACAGTTGTCGTTTGTGATGGAATCAACTTTGTTTAGATGATGCAGGCATTTGGCATTTAAAATCAATCTTCAACGTTAGTGAATGATAAATCGGTTCTCATACATGGGAACAATATCCTCCGATTATATACGCCCTACTACAAGATTTCTGTATATTTGATCTAGTTTAAGTTGAGAAATTCAAATTTCGATCTCCAATTCAATATGAATGAAAAACAGATATCTCTTGTCGTCACATATATTGTCAACACTAGAGAGGACTGCTTTAAATCTTTTCGTCATCCAGGTTTTTTTGCTTTTTTTAGGAAATAGAAAATTTACAATAATACAGTGTAGAGATTCTACCTTAATAACTAGAATTATTAATAAGTCTTGAAGACTCTTGTGAAAATTCAATTTTCCAAGAAAATTTCGACTCATAATTCACTAAAGAACCTTTCTTTCTCTTGTATGCTAACGATTTTTCCTTTTTCTTTGTTGACCTATTTTTCTTACCCTCTGTAATACATGTATACACCAATATGTAGTAAATTGGATGTGACTGTGAATAGGAGTATAGGACAAGAAGAAGATCCACACCCACATCCACACTTCGAATCACTTGGATATTTATGTACAGTGTATTAACAGATTAAATTCTATCTTTCGTTGAACTGGACAATCAGTAGTATGACGATTCGTCGGGAACATTTTGTTGCATGCAGCATTATGAGAGAGGACGATTATCGTAGTATTAGACATTATTCGGAATATCAGAAAAGAAATTAAAATACATAATATTCATAGAAAAACAACAAATCCTCTTTTGCTGTTTGAAATCTAGCACTGGTTGAAATTCTGTTTAAATATTCTACGAACGGACTAATATCAAGTGTCATGACAAGCCAGTTGACTTAATCGTCGAGTTTATCAGATAAAGTTTTTTTTAATTTTGAGACTGCTTTTGACATTGAGAATGTGGAATATAATCCATGGAGAGAAATATGAAATCTACTATATAATGATTTATATTAGTTATTGACTCTTTTGTGTCCTATTGTCAATCATTCTCAATCATAACTTCTTTTGTGTTTACTTGTCTTAGACAAACATTTTTGTCTGGTTTTTTTTTATTCTGATTTTCAGTGGAGAAATTTTCTCTTATTAAATAACAAAAAAAAAAACTTTAGTCTTTTAATTGTTTGTAAACATTTGCAGGAAGAATAGTTAACTTGTTGAATTTAATCAAAATCAAATCGACAATCCAAGCAGGTAGCATTGAAAGTGGAAAAAAGATAAAACTTGATTGCCAACCTGGTCGATAACGAATATAAGGTTTTGTATTCATAACAGCATGTTGAAGTGCACATACAACTTTAATTGGATCTTCAGCATATTTAATAAATACATTATTTCTTTGATTATTAAATTGTTCTTTAACAAAATCTTCACCCCATCGTGTTTGCACATCTTTTGATAATGTTGACCAAAATTCTTCAAAAGATATATGATTTACTTCAATTATGGGTGTTCGCATAAATCCAGGTTCAATAATACTAACATGCAAACCCCATGAAATCATTTCTCGACGAAGACAATCAGAAAATGCTTCTAAAGCATATTTTGAAGCTGAATAAGCCGATAGATTTGGTGTGGTTAGAAAACCAGCTACTGAACAAATATTAATAACACGTGAATCATATTTATTAATTAATAATGGTAAAAATTTTTTTGTCATTGCTACATGTCCAAAAAAATTTACATCCATTGTTTTACGTATTAGTTCTAATGTTATCCAATCAATATAGCCCGATTCTCCAATTCCAGCATTATTAACAAGAGCATGAAGTTTATTTGTTTTCTTTTGTACTAATTCATATACAGCATTAATATCTTCTTCTTTTGTAATATCAAGGCGAAAAACATTGGCATTTGATGAAAGTTTATTTTTAAGTATGATAATATTATTAGAAATATAAACACCAGCTAATACATTAAAACCTTGTTTATCAAGTTCAATAGCTAATGCATGACCAAAACCTGTATCACAACCAGTAATAAGAACATATTTACCATCTGGATTAATATTAGGTGAAGGAAATAAATGTTTATATACATAATAGGTCACATAAAGTAAAATTATTAAAATAATAATTAAATACATGATCAGTTTTACACGATAATCATGCAATAAGAATTACGAATAACTCGTTTGTTTCCTTTTTCTTCGTCTATCGAATGTTATTGTTAATAGGAACAATAGACGAGTGGAGAATATAAAATTTATAGAACGAAAAACATGTGTATTTATATAGGCAATCGATCGAGTTTACATTTTTTTTTCTTTCTTTTTCTTTCTAGTAAGAGTATTTATTATAGACGTTAGATCATCTATTATCACATCTTACACTGTATCTATTCGTGTGAAGTTTAATATACTATCTTATACTTTCTTGTATTTATTCATTCTACTAAAAGCAACCCAAAGAAAGAATTAAAAACAAATATTTACTAATGACATAATAAAACGATACCTACATGTTGAAAATTGAAAAAAAAATGTTGTTTTTTAGAACTAATTTTGCAAACAAGTGATGAAACATTGATCGTAAACCATAAACAAAGTTCGATTACCAAATAGATTGAGATGGAATATAAGAAACAATATTTATAACAGCATCTAGAAATATTTCTAGAGTTTTTATCAAAATTTTCATTATAGGCCGTGAACATATTGACTACCTCGACTTTTGATTAATTATTGAAATCACCATCAACTCAACGCACTCTTACATCAACGAGAATTTTTTCTCATATACCATGTAAATCATTATTATATTCATTGACTATACAATGATTTTTTACAAAGTTGGGCTTGGTAATACTGACATATCAATCTCATGGAACGATCTTCTGATGAAGACAATCGAAAAAATTCGAGAGTATGTTAAATGTATATTAAATCCCAAATCAAAAACCTGGTTATCAGCTCTTTTCATCAATGCTAGGGCGATGCAAACAATACTTTTCGCATGAGCTGAGCTATTGAACATCTACTTTTATTTTGGTACTAAGTTTTTCACTGCTCCATTTCTGCATACTTTGTAGTTCAAATACATCTATGGAATTGTCATATATCTAGATCATGTTTGAATATTGAATAAACCGACATATATTGTACAACTGAACAACCAGCTGCTGAACTAACATTGATAACATATGAGCCTTGTTCACATCAACGCATAATAGTAAAATTTCTTGTTTTATTGCAACATATTCAAAAAGTTCATAAAAGCTTATCACGCATATCAATTTCATTGTGATCGAATCAATGTAATCACATATTGTCATAATAGTATTAATTACAAGTTTATGAAAGATCTAATTAATGCATGAAGATATTTTAGTAATGATTCACCATCCATACTCTCATTCAACAAAAAATATTGAAACTTGATTTATCAATTGTCATAGATAATGAGATATGACTCAAGCGTGAGTCATAACAAACGACAAGTACATATTTACCTTTTGCATTGATGTTAACTGATGGAAAAAATTGTTGGCATAGCAGATTCAATAGATTGTATCAAGCATAAGTAAGATGTTAACTGCCACAAACATAATCATTTTCTTCTATTTTCTGTTGAGAACCTTAGAAACAAAAATCTTGTTACAATATTGTTATATTAGAGTCTATAACAATAGATTGATACGAAAAGTAGTCGATATATTCATAATAAAAGAACAAAATCATTCTTAAGCACAGAAAATCAATTTAGGAGAATAGACTAAACCGATACAAAAAAAAAGATTCAAAATCTCATTAGTACACTGCGATGTAAAATTATACAAAAATTAAAGTATCATTCTATTTTTTTTTTCTGTGAAAAAAAAAACTTCTGAAGTATAAGTTTTAATGCAAGAATAATCGTTTAATTTTATCTCAATGTTATTTCATTGAATGCATTGGAATGAAAAAATTATTTAAATCTAAATGTTTGTTTTTAAGTGTTCAATTATTTGAAGATTTTTCAATTGAATTTATATCCGATGTATAATATAAAAAACAAAACATACAATATTACATTAGATATAAATAAATCAAATCTTTATAACATATAGTTATTGTTGTTTCCATTCTAAATAAATTTTATTATCTATACTTTTAATTGTATAATTATGACATAATTTCTTGCAATTCTTCGATCTTCTTATCATTTAAGCTGCAAAAACATAAGCATAAGACACATATATACGGTATCTTTTCGTCAAAATAAATCATATGAATAATTTGAGATTTAGATTTTCCCAACAATCGATTTCAAGATATATTATAGATGAGCAAAGATAGAAAAGAAATTGAATTTGTTCAAGTTCAGTCATTCAGTGAATATTCACTTTGGTAATTTTATTTTTATTCGATACTAAATGAAGAGTAATTGCTTCTTCAAGAGATAAACATCTAGATTTTATCAATGATAAAGACTAAACTCTTAATGAATCAAGATGAGGTAATAAACGTATAAAATCGATTAACGTACCGATGAACTTTCGATTATATATAACAACAAGATGTGTAATTCGAATAAATGTGAAAAGAAAAATAATATCATCAGTAAATAATTCATGAGAAGTATTATAAAAAGAAACCATTACAATAAGTTAAATGTTTTGTGTAAATTGAATAGAAGACATCATATTCTTTTCATCATTAAAATATAAAGTTTGCTGCATAAGATTAGAATGTTCATCAATCTTTATAAATTCCGACAATTCATTCTATTGTTTCCTAAGCAATAAAAAAAAAACAAGCACATAAATTTTGTTATAACATTCTAGTGGCGGATAAAAGTTAAGAGTAGATGTATTTTTAAATTTTCTTCGTGATGGTAATAGTTTGGAAGAATCTGAAAAAAAGCATTTGAGTATCAGGAATAAGGATTGATGATGAATCTAAAAACTCCAATAAAACTTGTTCGATGAGGATATTTGGAAAACCAAGATTCCCGAACCCAGTTGTCTGGAATTGATTTGAAGCTTTTGTAGAAATGGTTTTATTTGATAGTGCAAAAATGAGATGTCTCGACTGTTTCTAAGACGTTTCTTCATTGATCTATATTCAATTTCCAGAAGACCTATGAAGCATTTTTCTTTTGTTTTTATGAAAAAATTCTTTTGCTATCGAGAAGAAAACTCATTACTATAGATTTGTTGTTAATTTACTTATAAGAATAAATAGAATAAGTAATTAAAGTAGAATAATTCTGTTCTATATCAATTTGAAATTGAAAATTTCATTCACGTTTGATTCAAAACGATGAAAGAATTTGATTGATACCTTCATAATATGGAGACATTACGAATTCATCATAAACAAATATTTGATGATTAAATTGAAATCTATATAAATATGGCATATATTGTTCAATCAATTGTTCTCATTGATAAGCATCAAGATAAGATTCATCATGATATGTGCTGATATATAACTTTTCTAATTGAGAACATATTTTTTTAATGAATATTTCAAATATATATCAAACAATAAACGAAAGTTTCTAATCACGATATGAATCAAATTAGGTAAAGATACTATTTCACATTGTCGATAATCTTAATTGATTTTATTATTTCTCTACAAGTCAAACGACGAAGACGAGGTGTATAGGAGAATATAGATAAAATTTATTTTTAAAAATATTTATTATTTCATTAGATGAATCACTAATACTCCTTGATCATTTGAAGTGATACATATTTATCTCAATCTGAAACAGTACTAAAGCATAGTTAATCGTATTTTTAAGTATACACAAATATATAAAATTGTTTAGTTTAAAAATAACCTTTACAAAAAATTATTTATACATCTTGAAAAAGGGAAATATATTGTTGTATATGGGTACTTTTATTTTTCCATTCGTGTCATCATACACCTATGAAAGAAAGTGAGAAAAACAAATCGATTGACGACATTCGTATGTTGCCTATTGATAGAATGATCATGTTTCATTCTTTCCTTTTTAACACTATTTTTTTTTGATATTTGAATCGGAATATTGATTTTAATCATTTCACTTGATAAAAAAAACCAGATAGTTAAATTATTTTGAAATATTGAAGAAAGAAAAACAAAGTTTCAAGTTCATATTAGAATTGTTGAAAAAAAAAATCATTGTTTGTTTTCAAAAATGTCTTGTAACATGGACTGTAAAATATGTAGGCTGGTGAAACTTTGTTTATTCATAGATTGTGATGAAGAAAACTGAATAATTAAGATGCCAATAAAATTCCCTTTTTTATGTCATCATGGCTTTTGCTGGCATCTTTTGGTTTCTTCAGACAGAATACTATGTAAACTATGCCAACCGTAGAATTATATGCTCAAAAAACAATACTATTTACATTCGAGCATTTGTCTTCTCATTCGTATTATAATCACTTACTTCTGTTGATTAAATGAAAATACAGCTCTAATAATTAAAACTTCAGAACCAATAATAAATAAATATCGTCTGAAAAAAAATCAGTGTGTATACTTATCTGAATTTTCTAGGTCTTATATTTTGTGAATCTATTTGACATTATGAATCTACTGGAACCATAGAAGATTATTATAACATTCTTCATGTTGATGTATATTTGATCAGACAAAAAAGTACTTTTCTTTCTAGCTTAGTGTGTCAGTACCACTATTTTAGATTCTAATCAATCCATGTTTAACATCTACAATCGTATACGATCGTATTTTGGTCGTGTATTTTTCTCGTATATAGCAAGATAGCTTGATAGTGTTATATATGTGTCACTTCTTGTTACAAATTATTTATTCGTTTTATCTTTTCCATTTTATATGATCTTCATGTAATACGCTTCCTAATTATTAATAATGAGTTGGCTAGACTCTTTCCATGTCGTCTTTTTTTTTGTGAAAACCGTCGGTTACCAGTGGTTTGAATCAAAACCGTCAGTTAAACTGGGTTAACCGATAGTTCAAACCCAAATCGACGATGAACCACGGTGAACTCAAGGTTTTGTTCAGTTACTTATAATAATTATAATTTATAAAAAACAATTAACCGCAAACATATTCATAATACCGAAAGTGCATTAGTTACCATAAAAAGATTTATTCGATAGATTTAACAATTTTTGCTTCAGCATAAGCTATTAATATCCATCTGTAGCCTGATTTTCCAATCCATCTTTTTCAGTTATGCACCAAAAGACAATAATTCAAAGCCTATGATTAATCGTCATAACTGATATTTAAAGCGTTAAATAGAACTTTTTTTTTTTTATATAGGTTCGATTCAACAATTTCGTTAAATGTAAATATCAATGCGTTAAATATTAAATTACGTATATTTTTATACAAATAGCTTGTATGCATTATAGTTGAGGAGCGTGAGAGAGGGGTGAAAGAGAGGTACGAAGAGGTTCGATGGAATATGATGATAAACGACACTGTATACGATCTTGTACGATCGTTTACAGTGGTCGTATTTCATCGTATACAACGCAACGATATACGGTTGTAATTCTGGCGGTAAGTAGTACGACGGAATACGGTCGTACACAATCATTTACGACTGTCGTAATGCTCGTTCTGGGAATAAATGTCATCGAAACAATCCATTGGACCAATTCTTGGAAATTTTACAAAAAAAAAGATTCGAACATTTTCTTTCTACATTCACAGAACTAAATAGCATGAAACGGTTTATTATTTAAACTTTGCTGAGTTCTATATCAAGGTAATATATAAACGTTCGTTTTATATAACAAAGGGTGTAGGCTGAAAAAAGATCCCATCCATACATTTGTCTTTCACATGTGTATGTATTATACTCTTTTACTCGTCCTTGGTTCCACTCTATCATTTTTCTCGTTGTTTGTTTTTTTTGTTCGTTTGTCGTTTTCTTCTCTTTTTGTGTCTTATCAACATTCTATTTGTATTTCTCTGTGCAGATTTTATTGTGTATATGAATATCATTTTTCAACACTTTTGAATTTAATTAATAATAAATAGGACATATAAAGATAGGTTTTCAACAAAAGGTATAGTTTCAAGTATGAACAACTTTGATGCCAACAAGTACACTATAAATACATATCAATTTCTTTTAGAGTTTATTCTTAGTAGAAAAAAAAAATTTCTAAAAAGAAAATGTTTCAACTCAATATTTACGATTTACGAGAGATATCGAAACTATCATTTCACATATTGGATGAAAATAAAAAATGCATTTTTATGATCGATAACGAAATTAAAATGTTTGATCAATAGAAATCTTAACTGGATTGTTTCAAATAACTATTAAAATTAGTTAAGAATGATTTATAATTTTAGCTTTCACTATTCATTAAGAATTGTGCACGAATGTTTTCACTCATTATGTAATCTATCAAGTAACTTTCTTCTGTAATCATCTTTTTTTTTTCGAACTCTTACCACTATGTATAGAAAAAAAAAACGTAAATGAATTTGAACTATCATAGTATTAGTTGGCTCATATGAAAAATGATGTTAAGGTTCGAACAGTAATTAAAAAAATCTAGCAGAGGCTTGAATACATTTAATGATGAGTTTCTCTCTCTCTCTCTCCCTAAGAAAATAGATAACGTCAACAATATATAAGGTTACACTTCATTCCTCTTTTAGCATTTTTACTTTCACATACACACATATATATATATATATTAATACTTAATATGAATACCAAAATTCTCATTACTTTCGTATTACTATTAAGTTTGTATTCTCTATTAAATTGTGCATTTTAAATAAGATTTATATCTTTTCTTTTTCTTTTTTTATGTAGCTGTCACTGGAATCATTGCTAAACAATGTTATAGATGTACGGGATGTCCCAGACCGTTCAAGGGAAATGAAGCAGGTGTCAACAAAGTCAATGTTGGAGACAATGATTACTGTCAAGTATATATATACACATAAATTTTCAAAACTATTTTTTTGTCGACAATTTAAATTTGATATAATTCTTTGTAGAAAACGGTTGCATTAGGTACTGAAAGTCGAGACAGTGGTGGTAATGATTGTACACCTGTAGATAAAATGAAATATTGTTGCAAAGGCCATTTATGTAATGGAGCAACAATAACTACATTAACTATCAAACTTTTGGCGGTAACAACTAGCTTGTTATTTGTTGTACAATTCTTCCAATGAATGAACTTTAATTGATTTTTGGTTTGTATTTTTGTTTCATATTATTTGTACTTTTTTTTTCATGTATGAAAAAACATTTTTTATGTATACAACTAATATACAAAAAAATAAATCTAGCGAGCTTAATCTACTTTATTAATATAAACTATTATTGGAAATTGAAGATCAATGTCTATCTTTCACAGATCTATTTATTTTATTGGGAACACTAACATGAAATTGCTTCATGATTTCGTTACAAACAATACTATATGATTGTCGAATAGCTTAAAAGAATGATAAATTCAATAATTTTGCAATGTAAAATTGAAAAATAGTTAGTAGTAAAAAATGTTATTCATGGAATTCACATTGTTTTCTTTTCGAAGTCATTATATAATTTACGATTTAAGTCCATTTTAACAATTTACTACTAAACATGCTTTGACATTTATGAACGATGAGATTTAGTAGTAATAATAGTTTTTGGAAGTTTCGTTACAACCACCCCTTTGTCTTTATTTCTTATTTCATCTCTAGTAACTGAAATAGACTTCGAGTGAGTTTTTAGTCGTTGCATTTCCATAGTTGGTTTTTCCAAATGAATAATATCCTTACCATCAGCATTTGGTAAAAGAGATTGTTCACTTGCAGTTGTTTTATGTTGAGATATTTTCGTGACGCTGATTCGATTCGTTTTTGATTGTGATATGACTGCAGCATTTGATGGTTTTTTATCAGTAACTTTCGAATTCTTTTTTTCATTTTTATCTTTTTGATCGAGTTTTGATACTTTATTGACTTGAGTATTTGTAAATGTTGAGTGACGCATGGTCGAAGTCTCTTTCTTACCATCACGATCATCTGATAATTTTATTCCAGTATCTTCAATTTCATTCGTTGTTTCAGTTTGATTACGTTTAATTTTTTTAATAGATACTGATGATATTCGTTTAATTTCTTTAACATTTGCAGTAATATTCATCGTTTCAGGAGGTGTTACTTCAGATAATTTTATATGTGAGTCAGAGGCAGCATCATTTTTCATACTATTGGTTGCATGCAATGCATCATAGGGAGAATAATTTTTTTTTAAGGTTTTGGTCGTTAAGTCTCGAATAGAAGATTGTGTTGGCCATGTCAAATCAGATTTATCATGTAATCCAAAAGCCTGTTCTGTCGAATCTACTTCTTTTTCTTTTCGTTTTCGACGACGTCGAGCAGCAGGACCCCTGTTTGAAAATAAATACTAATAAATTAATTTGTCAAAAACAAAGGTTTACCACATGAATTGATATAAAAAACAGCAACAACAGCAGAGAGCAAGCAATAATGTCAACAATGATATACCCAAAATTAATAACCAATTTATAGGAGTTGCTATAAATCAATATATAAAATATAAGAGTTTAAGCAATCGAATATTACCATATTATGAGTATAGGGATTATCTTTGGCTTCATATGAAAACTTTGCGACTTTTTAGAACTTCAGTACTGATTATCGTGAAAAAAAATTTATTTGAAACTTGTTTTGAAAAAGTATTCCATAGATAAAGATTACAAGATAGTTTATGGTTCCTTTGGAATCTGTGTAACATCTTTCTTATGTAAACATCAAAATAAGTTTGAATCTTAATTTTATTAACAGATATTAGAAAGAAAATATATGATTACAAATTCTCGGTGATTTCTCAAAATATGTTTACATTTCGTAAAAGTTTTCATGTCCAATAGAATAGGAAAAAGAATACTCTGTCGTTCAGCTATTTTATGGTATGAGATGCTGTCGAACGACAGATTCAATAGCCCGATATCTTTCCTACAACTAATACTAGCTGTAGCTCTAGACAAAAGATCAGCTTGATACAGACTTCTTGCGCTCGTTTGCTTGTGCTCTCCATACACACTAACTAGCTGCAAGAGTAAGTGTATGTCACAATGTAGTTAGCATGCTATCTGACAGATGACTTGAGATAAATAGCTGCTAGTGACTTGTCCAGGATGATTTCATGGCTGGTAGTACTGAGATTTACACATAGCACTTTGTGGATACGTGTTGAATAACGTAGTTACTCAACCATGGTGGCTTCAACAGAATAATCATTATCTTAAAGGTTAATAGAATATTTCATCTTTTTGAATAAATTGAGTTTAAATGCGATAGGATTCTTCTTCTGCAATTTTTCTCATGATAAAATCTCAGATTATTCAGTGTCTCACATAGAATTCAATAGATTACATTAATCAACGTTTGAAATTTTACAAATTTGCAAAATTTTATAAAAATTCAAAGATAATCACATTGTGATTAAACTATAGACTTCATGAATATGTCTAATATTTAAAAATAGAATCAATCTTACTTGAAGATCGTGTTGTTGTTGTTGTTGTTCTAAAGACATAAGAAAAAATTAGTAATCATGAACATATAATAATCTATTTGAATCAACTGAGAACGATTTTATACTACTTAATACAAAATAGACATAAAATATCAAATATTATCCGATAGACTTTTCCATGAATAATATTGTAACTGAAAATTGATCCATAAAGTTTACATACATATGACACAACTATGAATAGTGTGATTAGCAATGATAGAGACTTCGCTTTTTTTGCTCTTTTGATTACTTACGTCGTTGTAGTTGTTACTGTTGTTGTTGTTGTAGTTGTCGATGTTGTAGTTGTGATAGAAGTTGTTGTAGTTGAAGTTGAAGTACTTGTCGTAGAAGTTGTGGAAGATGAAGTTGATGTGGATGAAGTTGATGTAGATGATGTCGATGAGGTTGATGTTGTAGACGTTGTTGTTGTTGTTGTTGTAGTCGTAGTTGTTGTTGATGTCGTAGAAGTTGATGTGGTTGATGTCGTAGAAGTTGATGTAGTTGATGTCGATGAGGTTGATGTAGTTGATGTCGATAAGGTTGTTGTTGTAGAAGTCGATGTAGTTGATGTCGATGTGGTTGATGTAGATGATGTCGATGAGGTTGATGTTGTAGAAGTTGATGTAGTTGACGTCGATGAGGTTGATGTTGTAGACGTTGTAGAAGTTGATGTGGATGATGTCGATGAGGTTGATGTTGTACTAGTAGACGTGGTTTTTGTCGTTGTAGTTGTTGTTGACGTTGTTGTAGTTGTTGATGTTGTGCTAGTTGATGTGGTTTTTGTTGTTGTAGTTGTTGTTGATGCTGTTGTAGTTGTTGTTGTAGTTGTTACGCAAACATCTGGTGATGCCATTACAATAAATGTAACACAATATTGTTCTGATTGAACTTGTTCACTAATTGAAAGAAAAGCAAAATGGCTTACAATGATGAAAACGCTAAAAAAAAATGTTAGTTTACTCGGTATAAGCGATTGCGCATAGTTGTTGTTGTCCAACTTGACTTGTTTGAGGTGTCCATGTAAATCTGATATACGACAATGATGTATTTGTAGGTGAACTCGTTAGACTACCATAAGTCATACCAATAATGTCACTTGAAATAATCATATCAGCAAGTGTAGCCACATTAGGATTACATAAATTCATAGCATATATATCAAAGCTTAGTGAAATGCCAGCTTGTACTTCTAAACAACGACTTAATGGAAGAATAATAGGTTTTTGTGAACATGATGGTTCTGACATGACATAGATCAGAAGTTGAACTGGTACGGAACTCATTGGTGTCATGCTGGTTTTGCTAATAAAATCTTCAACCTGCGAAAGAAAAAAAGAAATCGTAAGGTATATTTTAATGTAGCTTGTAATATGTATTATGTAAAAAATCGGGAGTTCTACTTTGAACATTATCGTTAGAATGATTTTCGCGTTTATGAAACATAAAGATTCTGATAATTTTCTCATAAAGCAAAAATTTCTGTCCTATTCAGACTCTGCTCCTTTCAAAAAAAAATATGTTCATTTCTGTCAGAATTATCGGAAGTAAGACAAATGTAGGGAAGAATAGCTTGACGTCGAATCTTTGACAAACAACATAATATATTATTCATCATGTCATTTTTTCTAAAAGTTTTCGATCATATCCGTCATCTTCCGCTTGAAAAAGATGCTTGTTTTTCTCTATTGATTTTTTTCAGATTGTGCTTCCCAGATAGAGTTCATTTTTTGAATTAAACTTTTCTATTCTTATATAAAAATCTACTTCGATACAAAAATGAATGATCATTTTTTGAGAGTTTTTTGAGTTGTTGAACTTCTTATTCTTTTTTATCTGCATAACAAGAAGAACTTTGCCAAGCACAATGGTTTGATATGTTCTTTCAAATAAAAAAAAAAATATTAATATAAAATGAAGGTTTACATAGAATTTTGGGTTCTCAAATGAGCTACTTTTTTACCCTTGTTCAATGAATAGCTGCTGAAAACGTCATCATATAGGACTAAGAATTTTAGCATAGTCTTTCCACTATAGTCCTAACATAACCTGAAAATTTCATGCAATTTGAATCTACCTAATCCAAGATCGTTTTTTGAAGGTGAAAGATCCTCATAGAACTTACTTGAACAGCAACTGCATACCAAGTGCCAGCTTTAGTACCCGTAAATGATATGGTACAGTTGGACAGACTTGTACCAGACGGTAGACTATCTGGGTAACAAATACCACCACATTCATCGATCGCTTGACGATTGGGATAGGACAAAGTTGTTTTTAATGTTGGTTGAGTTTCGACTGTAGTAGTAGGTTTAGCTGTTGTGGCCGTACAACCACCGAGAAAATTGGATATAGGACATCTTGAGCTGCCGCAATTGGTTCCTGTGCATGTAGAATCACTGCAAGGACAATTGTATGCACACCAGATATCACAAGGATCGCCGAACAAGAACCTTTTCCATCTAATATGCAAATCTTCCGAAAATTCAACTAATGTTTTATAGTTCCCAACATTATATTTGCGAATTGCATGGTGTTCGTCGTTCGATCGTTTTCGTCTTCGATAACCAGCAGTATATGTTGACCATCGACAACGTACATCATCACCAGCATTGACATCCGAAACAGGAATATTTATTTGTATTGGCTTATTTACAATGGCATATTGTGGAGAAACGACTTTAGCAACAGGTGGAGTATTGATGAAACCATCTGATCGTTTTCGAAGGTCAATATATGTTATTATAGACCATTCAAGATCTTTTTCAGCAGGATCATTTAATGTTACCCAAGCACTTCCTCTATAAGCTAAATAAAAATGTGCTCCGGAAGATAGAGTAACATTTTTCGATTTTTCACTTGTCATCATTTTCAATGATGAACTAGATGATGTACAATCGGTAAGAATATTAATCGGTGCACTAGAATAACCACCATCAGGTGAACAATCAGCCATACAAATCAGATTAGTGTTGGAACTACTAAATGTACTTGTCGAAATCGGTACATTGTTGGCACATTGTACATATGGATATGTCCATGAATAAGATTGTGTAATAGTAATTTTAACTGAAGTGGAATTATCATAAGGATTAACGGGAGCCCATCCAATAGTTCCTCCATTGAAATGTTTTCCATCAGTTAAAATGAAACAAGAAAATAATATCAATAAGCTAAGAAACATTACTTGATTGTGCTTGATATCAATGAATACGAATCTAAAAGACAAAAATATGAAAAATATTCTAAAATAATATCGTAAATATCTTTTCTATGCTTTGAATGGTGATATAAAATGGAAATTTAAAATGAAGCAGAACATGTCTCAACAAGTAGAATACTAATACATCGTATTGGTTAGTAGAAATCGATCTGCACGATTTTGTTTTCAACAGCTTAGTTTCTCAAGCATAGATCTCGATACAATATTTTAGAGAGACTTAGGAATAGAAGTTCCAAGCAAAGTAACAAGGTTTCAGTAGTCGAAAAAAATTGTTTTTGTTTCGTTGGAGAATGGTTGGTTGATGAAAGAACAATATATACATTGGCAATCGTTGGTACAAAAAAAAATAATAATAATTGAAAATATAGTAGTCGATGCCAATCTGAATAATAAAAAATTCAATAAATTTGACACCCATCTATATTTTACTATGCTTGAAATCATAGAAATAATATTTATTATTCTGATTACTTTTTAGTTGCATACCATGATCGATAAGCTTCAATGACATCATCAAAATTTCTGTATAGAGCTTTTCTGTATACGCTTGAAAACAGAACGAAAACTAACCTTGCATGAATAGGCATAAAAATATGAGAAACAAAATAAGAGTCAATCGGCAAATATTAATAAATAAAATAGCAATTTATTTAACAGTGGTAGAACATATGGAAAATTTTAGACGTTTCGACACTTGTTACAGATCATTTTCAATAAAACGAAAAAATCATCGGATTCCACCGAAAATCATAAAATAATTAAATCAATTGAATTGCCGTATTACCTTATGATTTTCGGTGAAATCCAATGATTTTTTCGTTTTATTGAAAATGATCTGTAACAAGTGTCGAAATGTCTAAAATTTTCAATATATTCTATCACTGTTAAATAAATTGCTATTTCATTTATGAGAAACAAATATGAATTACTATCGGTATTGTTCTTTTACGTTGTATAAATTTATTTGCTATTATGCGAAAGTTTCATTTGAAAAGATTGATCGAATAGTTCTCTTTATCTACTATTTGAGAGCAAGAGACAACAAAGTTGTCGTTCTTCAAGTTTATACGCATGCACATGATTTGTACTTTAATACTTAAAATATTTTCTTTACAAAAATATAATATAAAAGTTCAAATTCAATATTCTTTATCAATCACGCGTTTCATACAACAAACAAAAACAACATGTATGTCTTTAATCCATCTATTTTTTGCCACATTGTTATTGGCATATAGGTAGTGTGCTGCCTGGCAAGATTACATGTTTTATTTCCAATTTCAGTCTTCATTATGTGAATGATTGGAAAAAGTTGTAATGCTTCTTTCGTATTCTTCTTTTTTCTTAGTTCGATTTAAGATAAATATACTATATATTTCTATGTCATCAACAAAAAAGAAATAAAAACGAGCCCTCGTGGATTAAATCAATTGTTTTTTGAAGTGAAATATAATATTCTTTTCTTCAAAATCAGACATCAATTGAATATTTCTTTTTCTTTGATGAAAGAAAACAATAACGAAGTCATTATAATAAAAACAAAAGAAAACTAATAATGAATAAGATATAGTAGGTAATTATATATGAGAATGTGGAGAACAGAAAATATTTTTAATAATTTGTCTTCATTTTCAGCTGAAATTGGATGCAACCATCTAATGAGGAAACCTCATCAACTGATTAAAACCTTTTGGTCTCATATTCTGGCCATAAGTAGGACTTAGTGGAACTCAAGGAACCCTAAAAGAGTTTATCCTCATGAACGTCTTTGGTCGAGTTACAAACATTTCAAGTTTAGAACCAGAAGTGTAGATAAACTACTTCTAGTGTTTGCATTACACTATTGTAACATTCCTATAGAAGGCTCTCTTCATTATTTCCTTTATATTCGTTCTGACATGAGTTGTGACTCCAAATGAAATCAAAAAAACACATCAGTTAGACGAAAATGAAAGATAAAGCACAAATAAGAAGGCATGCAAACGAAACATCAGATAGAAATAATTGAGTAATGTATATGACGGCCTATAAAGCACATACCTACAATAATTCTATTATATTGAAATACTAATACTCCATACTTCTTTTCTATAGAAGTTAGCTCATCAGATAAACATGACAACGTGATTTTTACAACAGCTCAACGTTTTACTTATGAGTATTTCAAAAAGAGATGTTTCTTTTGAAATGTTACAATATTGTAATTCAAGCACAAGCAACGGTTTATCTGTCCTTCTGGTCCTAAACTTGGAACGTCCGTATATCCACCAAATAAGCCCATGGAAGTAAATCCTACTGAGATTCTTCTAATCTCACCAAGTCCTACTTATGCCAGGAATATGAGCCCAAAAGTTTTTAATCAATTGGTGGAGCTTCGTCATACGATATGAAATGTGCGCGGAGTGTGAATGCGGGTGTAGTAGTATGGTTGCAGAGAAGATTCATAGACACAGCCACATACCCTCATCTCATCTACATGATACTGATAAATCCGATGGGATCTTTCGCTTGACTGAATTGGTTCCAACTTTGAAATGGGATCTTTTAGAATCGATCTAATGTCCTAATGTTTTGAAGTTGTTTTGTAGAAGTTTGAAATTTCTCAAGGATGTCTTAGAACGTTGTAAAGTTTTGTGCAAGAGAAATGGATATGAGTAAAATGTGTTTGAAGAATTATGTTACATTTCCTTTCATCATTAATCTGGATGAGAAAAATCAAGTCACTTACATCTAACAATACTAAGACAGCTTATATTGATATGATATACAATTTGGTCATAGTATTCATAGAAATTATATCATCTGTAAGATATGAAGTAACATGTTCATCGATCTGAAAACAAATGATAACAATAGTAAAACCTTGGAAGTTTCGTGTTTTCTCCTTGGACTCTTTTCAGTTTTTTCATATTATAACTTTTGCTCGTATTAATATTTAATCTTATACTTACAGAGTTTGACTTCATCTCACTTTTTTTGTCATCATGAAACACTATTCATTGCGCTATTGTGCAATGAAGCACATGCGAGGCATCACGATCCAATTTAAGATGAAATCAATAGAATCAAGAATCAATAATTTTTGTTTTGAATTCGATTCTAAACTAGTCAGAGACTTGAACTTTATTTTGAATTGAATGTTAATTTGAAACTCGACTATTTGGTTTCGATATCTATTCATATTCTTGCTAACAAGTATATCTGATTCATACTCATTACATCTCTCAAGTTAAATGCATCTTTTGACATGATAGAATAAAGGATCAGTAATTAGTGGTAGAAAATTTATTGAAGAATATAATTATAGGATAATTCACACAAAAATAGATTTTTCCATACGTTGAAAGTTTTCTGATCGTTTGATTTTGTGTTATGTAGAGAAAACTATATCATGTCGAGATAACGTCAGCATAAAATCGATTATCAGTAGTGACACCTGAGCCACCTAATATCAAATGAAATGAAACTTTATAAGTATGCCCGACTGTCGTTGAAAATGATTGGCCAAGAAAGTCAATACCCGCACTAGCGTAGCAATTGTCCTTAAAGCAGTTGCCAGTTGATAAATAGCAATTTGAACCAGTGGTTATCACTCCGGAGTGACCACTGCACATGCTCGTACACCATTGAATCCAATCTGTTGCTGTTGTTGTTGAATTGTCAAAACTTGGATTATTGAGCTACTCAGTTGTGGGCAGACTATTATCAACAACAGATACTGTATCCAAGTAATATTCGCGATTGTTTTCATTCTGAAATCCAAATAATAAAACTGCTGACGTACTCATCGCCGTGTAGTTAAATTGATACTGAGTCCATATATTTGGAGTTGAGCCAGATAGAGAGAGTGAAGTGCCGCGACCAGTTGAACTACATACAAGTGCTAAAATACGCTTCTTAGAATCGACATAGAATATAGTGACGAGTATTTACTCACTCAACTGTGTTGTAGTTGTTGAGCTTGTAATAGTTATTGTTGTTACAGCTACGATAAATAAAATCAAACTTTCTCGATATATTATTATCTACTCGTACACATGACAATTTTACTATTCCTATGAAGTAAACCTCTGTTATATGAACAAACTATCTTAGCCAGACCTTAAAAAGTGATGGATAGATGCGAGGAGTTATCGAAAGTTGAAGATATACATTTTTTTTCTAGTTCTATTCGATTTTCGATTCCCTCAGTAGTAATTGAATATCGAACCTTTAAAAACATTCTTCTATTGTTGATTCATTTTTGACTCCTCGAACATATTTCGATCACTCGAGGGTGTGGGTGTGGGTGGGTGTGGGTGGGTGTGGGTGTGGGTGGGTGTGGGTGTGGGTGTGGGTGTTCTCTTTCTGCACAACCACACCCACACTCACCGACACTCACCCCACACCCACACTCATCCACACCCACACCCACCCTTTTATGCAAACTATAAACTTATAAACTGAATAGCACACACATCTGTTAAAGCAGCAATAAAAAGTAAAAGATGAATTTAATGTAAATTATAATTTTATAAAGTGAGTGACTTTGGCCTGTCCAAGCAGTAAAAAAAAGCAATAGATAAATTTATTGTAAATAATAATTTTATAAGCTGAGTAGCACACACTTGTCAAAGCCGCAAAAAAAACCAAAAGATAAATTTTATGTAAACTATAAATTTATATACTGAATGGCAGCCACCTGTCAAAGCCACAAAAAAAGCAAAAGACAAAAATGTTTATCTAAATTGTGATTCTAATGCCATTTTCGACTATTCTCATCTAAGATGCTAGAGTAACCATCCGACACACTACAGTAAACATAGGACATTCTATACTGCCCACTTGGGATGCTAAAACCGCTACCTCTGATGCCAGTAACATGATTTGGGATGCTAGTATCTTCACTAGAGCCCTGCGAAGTCGCTCTTTTTTAACTTTGACTCCGACTCCAACTCTGACTTCGATATTTTTATATGACT